GCTCAATCCTTGTGCTGCTGCAAGCATGTCTATCGCTCCAGGAGGCGCGTCATCTCTGACTCCTATCAACGTAAGAAGCTTTTACAGACTGTCGTCGGCTTCTTCTATGGCAGCTGGTCGAAGGGCAATCGCCACTTCACCAGCACCACCGGTGAACGGCCCTCCTTGTCCTTCTTGCCCTTCCCCCTTAAAAAAGTCCTAGTCTTAGATTGTTGTAGCGGCCTCATCCTTTGCTAGTGTGCTAGGCCTGATGTATTATGTCGCTATGTTGTCTGTAATCCAGTGATCGACAAATGGCATGTACTACCGCGTAGCATCCGTTTTGTTGGTTAGGCTCGCTTATGTTTTGACCCAACGTCCTCGCACTTCCATGTGATTGAATTTGTTGAGGTGGAGGGTGTGGGTGTAGGTGTGGAGATCTACTCATCTAAAACTGAGCATGGATCTTTAAGGAATCTGAATGGGGCGAGGGTAATATTGTTCTACGTTCATAATCGAGAAGTGTTTTTCTTAATGGTTTTATGCACATGGTTGAGTACTCTATGATACTTGCTGTGGAAATAGAGGGAAAGACATGGAGGACAATTCGTAAACCAGGTGGTGCTGAAATGTCCATCCATCAAGCTCAAGGTCACCTGTGTGTGTTGTGCTGATTTTCGCAATAGGTCTTGGCTTTTAATGTGGATACTTGAAAACTATGGTACTAATAACTAGATTTTGAAGCATGTTGTGGACACGGAGGAACTGTTTGGATGCATGAATACTAAAGTTGATTCTGAGCTTTGTGATGAGGAGTATAGAGTGATTATAGTTCACCCAGAATGGAATTGCATTTTCCTTGTTGGGAAGGATAGAACATTGATTGCATATGACATAGACGGCAGAAAGGTTCATGTCATCATTGCCCGTGTCATCCGCTTTTGTAGATCAAGAGGGTGTTTTCATATAAAGAGGCCTTACTATCTTCCTTATGTTCCCTTGTTCATGAAATCTTTAGTAGAACAGTAAAGGTGCATTTCCTGCATTTCGTCGTCACGACAGTCTTTGTTCAGGTAGGGAGTTGTTTTTATTCTATCTATGTATAGGCCAATTTTGGCTTGTTAACTAAAGGAATGGTATGTTCAATATTATTAATTCTGCTGCTTTGTTCAGGTTGTGGATCAGAGATGAATAAGAGGGGTTCCATGGTGCATTTGCTACCATTCCAAAGGATGTACTAAATATATTCATTTTGCCTTGCAAGCGGAGTGCCACATAGAAGGAGCACAAGCTATGTCGTTTCATTATGTAAGTCAGATAGATCAAGACCTTTTAGTATGCTCTATGTACTCGCTTGTGTTAGAACATCGGTTGAGAAAGATGTTATGGCAACATCCATTGTTATTGTAAAAAGTACTCTTGTTTGTGAACATGATTTATGGATGTAATGATTATATATCTATATGCTTTGTGTTCATGAAGCTATTAAGGGCCTAGCTGAATTAGTAATTATTGTGAAACCGGATGAAATTCTGTCGCCGTTGCTATACATATGATGCGGCAGGGATCAAAAGTATATCACCACTGAATCCTTTAGTAACCCAACACCAACTAAAGGATCATCAAAGGCGGATCGTGGTGCAAGGCGACGGTGACCATGACCTTTGTACTAGCGGATCATACGGTGAAGCGACGATGGTGTTAACCTTTACACAGGCGTCTCGGTTGTCGAACCAATAATGAACCCACACCGGCGGTCGGGTCAAAGTACAAGGTATGGATCTTTGGTGACCACTACATAGGCAGTTGATGTGCCCACACGACGATTTTGATAGCCTCGACACAGTTAGATCATTTGCCAATGCAGCGGTGTTAGTGTACATCCACGGTCAGGTCGTGCTCCAATGCGACTAAAGTAAGGACCTAATCATGGATGAATCATAAGCCAATTGGCGGTGTTAGTGTACACCGCGGTCGGTCCTAGATGTCGACGGTGAAGGCTACGACCATCACTATCGATAGCTCACTACCGAGGCCAAAATTGGACTGCGATGTGGGTTATGACGCGACTATGAAAGGTGCAAGTGTAGTAGTGTGCTACAGATGCACGAAAACCAAGAATGACCCTTGAATTCCACGTGCGCCACATAGAAAACCCTAACCACCACCTCGAATCCTGCACTAATAACCTCACCTCAGGCCCCACTCCATCAGTCGAAGATAGCCAAGGAGTCACTTCAGTCAAAGACCATCGGGCTCAAGGTTCACTTGTCTCCTAATATCACTACTTCGTCCCACCGAGTTGGTACAAAGCCCCGAGGGGTTATTGTTAGGGGAATGCCCTTGTAGCACCACCCCGCTTCTCCATTGCCCAGGATAGGGCCCTCACCAACACCTACCACCATGAAACCCTCATTACAAGGCCTCGCTCTCGTACAAGGGTACATTCACGGCCCCTATCTGAACCCCATCTATATGACCTTGTTGTTGTGTCCATCAACGGCACTAATTCAGCACATTTGTTTCCTCGGATACCTTCACTGGCACTGTACATGTCTCCCCCACTAACTTCCCTAGAAAAGGTATCATGACGTCTTGTTTTGCAGGGTCAAGAGTTGGTTGCAGAGCTGACCAGCCAGGATGAACCTTCGAAGCCACCCCTAGGCATCGTCGCATGGGCCCATCAAAGAGTGGTACCCCAAGCAGGGAACTCTAACGGCGTCAAGTGGGTGGTTGAATATGATGTGTCAAATGACTAAGGTACCCCCAAGTGTGTGTAAAAATGTTCCCATTCAATTCAGGTGTAAGTGTAATTTCATCATGCCCTCTGGTATGGACTATAAATACCTAGCGGGCACGACTGTAGAGATGATGAATTAATGGCCATTTACTCCTAAATTTATCAAGGCTCTGGTGTGTTATCTTCACTTTCCTCCCTTCCTTCTTTGCTTGTAGTGCACCCTAGACCTCCACTCTACCGCCTCCGTCCGATGAGGGTTTGAAGGCCAAGTGGAATTCCCACAGCCGCTATTTCCATGGTGAATGCTTCATTGGTCCCGCCTATGTAGAATCTAGGCCCGTGCTCACTGGCGATGCAAGAGCCCAACGGATCACGCCCATGAGTGCTCTAGCTCCATTTGCTTCTACGTATGACTACAACATAACCAAATAGGAGAGGAAGAGAGGGGAGAAACACACATTGACGGAGTCCTTGGCACATAGGTATGCTGATGAAAGTCGTCGGTAGAGTTGTTGACCTTGCAAAGATGACTTTTGTAGTGCTCCTCATCGAGATTCGTAGACATCGGGACGCGAAGAAGTCAGGTGAGCCTACCAACACAAAATTGAACCATGTTGATGAACAACCGTACCATGCCGCCCCTGCATAGATCTAGCAAATAAACACATGGATAACTGACTAGAGTGAGCCCAACCATCTCCATTATCTTCCAAGTCCCGTGAGCACCATTCACCAAATCAACTACCATGGATGACATTGAGAAAGGCGCCAAGGTGGGAGCACTGTGAAGTAGGCAGGGTCCTTTGTGTCATTATTAGCGATGGGGGCTGCACGACATCGTCGCTTGAAGGGCAAGGGCCACGCACAACTGTTGATTAGAGGGGGCAGATCTACTGGCCACCAAAGGCATGCCACAGACCGTTGACTTGTGAGATATGCGAAGTGAAAGGTATGATTGGTGAAAAGGAAAGACCGAGGGAGGGTGAAGCACTGAACAGAGATCGAGGAGAGGAAGGCACCAGTGGGAATGAGAGACTGTGGGAGGGATAGAGGGAAACATGTGTCGCTCGGTGAGTAGGAGAGACCAAGGGAGGGAGGGGTGCTCAATGGGGAGGAGTGGTTGGCGGCTGAGATTGAGATTGGGAGGAGGTGTCAGTTTCTAGGGTTGGAGAGAGGATAAATGGACTTGGGCCTCAATTTCTAGAAGAGGGTCTTTGAAGGGGTACACCTCTAAAAATGGTCCTCGTTTTAGTGGCGAACATCATAAGAGGTTCACCTCACATTAATTGATTTTGAAGATGATAGCTTATTAAATCTATCACTTGTAAATGGGTCAACCGCCTCCTGAAAATCGTGAAGCATTTTAGGAGATCGAAACATATTTTGCTTGCCTCTGAAATAAAGGGTTGTCTCTTGAAATGTTGTTGTAGTAGTGGCACGATAAATATATTGTTAGTTGTTATTCTAGTAGGAACAAAATGTGGACTATTGTGAAGAATAGCATAGATATTTATTAACCTTTGGTTTCACAAACATATGATTCAAGGAATAAAACCATAATATTGTTGGGAAATTAATAATAATAATAATAATGATGATGATGATGATGATGATGATAATGATAATAATAATAATAATAATAATAATAATAATAATAATAATAATAATAATAATAATAATAATAATAATAATAATAATAATAATAATAATAATAATAATAATAATAATAATAATAATAATAATAATAATAATAATAATAATAATAATAATAATAATAATAATTCTACCAACCTTTTCTCCAAACCCTAGCCGCCGCAATCCCCTTTCCACCCACCCCCGGCCTACCCATGCCGCCACCTCCCAGAGACTATAAGACAACCAATGCTAGCGTCCTACCATAAACATTCCGCTTTCCCATTCATCAACGATACACCTAACTCTCAACGCATCGCCATAAAGAAATCCTCTATATGATTATAAGCTCTGAGATGGGAACTATCACAGAGTTCCGATCTTGATGTACCTCGTACCCGTCGCACCACCGCCGCCGCCGTGTAGGTAGATCTCCATCACCGACGAGTTGTGGCCCGCTATTTAGAAATTTCTAATGGCTCAAGAGAAGGGGAAAAATATTGTTACAGGTATTCTCTATCTATGGAAATTTTACATTATTAGTTTGGGTTGAGATTTTTGAGATTTGTGAAATATTGGGGTCAACCCCTTTCTCGGGAAACCCTAATCGACTAACACCGGCCCTTCTTCTTTCGGCCCAGCGCCACCGATGAATCCCCCGCCCAGGTTGTTTCCAATTCCATTCGGGGAGCTCCACGGCTGTGACGGCGACGGCTGCGCCTCCGATCCGGATACCTGGCCTCTGCACCACGTGCTACGCCGTGGCGTGCACTGCCGCCTCTGCAGCTCCTGTATCCTCCTCTCCCACCGCTCGTTGTACTGCTGCCGCTGCATCTTCCTCGTCACCTCGCCGTCGTGCAACTACGACGATGGCGACACGCTCATGGCCCCTCCAGCCCCAACTGTCACCTGTCACGTTTGCCGCGAAGCCGTCGCGCACCTCCCGTGCCTCTACTACCCCGAGCCCCCCGCCGACGGCGTCTTCGTCTGCCCTCCCTGCACCGCGGCCCAGAACGGAAGGCTCTTCACCTACGCGCCGCCCTGCAGGCAGCCACTCGACGAGCGCGGCGCGAGGGTCCTCGTCCTGGGGTCGCGCATAGCGCTGGCGCTGCTGCAGCGGCACGCGACCGCGGCACGCGCAGCCGCGGAGCGGCTGGCCCGGGAGGCGCAGGAGGCTCGGAAGAGGGCGAATGACGCTCTTGAAGTGGCCTACAACCTCGGTAAGAAGGAAGATCCTTCCTGGGTCGTGCCGCAGTCCCCCGAGAATGACCTAGCAGCGTCTGAAGAAGAAGGCAATGAGGGTGAGGCGAACGTGGGGAAGGTGCTGCTAGTGCGGCGCAACGCGATGCCATCGCTGGCCACGCTAACCATCGGCACGGGGGGCAGTGTTGTGCTGATGGCTCTCGCCGAGGCCCAGCAAACGCCCCCGTCGTCTCAATCAAAGCCGCTTTTCGACCTCAATGAGAATGCGGTTGAGAATGACCTCAATGAGAACGCTGCTGAGAATGAGACAGAGGCTGTCCAGGCTGAGCCCACCCCACATCGGGCGCTTAACTCCTTCAACGTGAAGGAGGTGGCGCTTAACTCCTTCGACATGAAGGAGGTGACGATGGCTGCTGCGGAAGCAGCCAGGGCCAGCCCGCCGACACCGCAGACGCTGCAGCTGTTCCCAAGCGCCAAGGCAAGTTCCAGTACCAAGATGCCGCGTACCAAGAAGCCGCGTACCAAGAGGCCGCGGACGCTGCAACTCTTCAACGATGATCGAGCTTGATGCTGCCAAACTGATGAAGTGATGCTGTTGTGAGGTGTTTTGTTCTATACTTTATCTGAACTTCCTAAACTTCTTGGCCAGTGATTTCAGGTGGGGGTATTTATGCTACTTGCGTGCCCCAGAATTGAATTTCAGACCAGTTCTTGTTGAATTGTTAGTTTTATCATCTCTTACATTACAGCTTGGTTTACACTTTGTGCATACCAATGTATGATGCTATTTGCAGTTACATGTATGATGTTTGATGTATCGTCTCTTAATAGCTTGGTCTGCACTTTGTGCATGACTTTGTATGATGCTATTTGCTGTGAACAATGTAATGGATTCAGGGTGTTTGAAACTTGATTCAGAATGTTATTTGCTACTTTATAAATTCCAAATCCTCCATGAGGTCATCTCAATATCCATACGGTTGCTGTGTGCTTTTACTTAGCCTTTGTTTGGATGCTCATGTATCTACCTTAATCCATGTGTGTTGGAGTGGTTGGTGTGGAATTTAAATTGGATTGAGGTGAATACATGGGCATTCAAACAATGTAATGGATTCAGGGTGTATGATGTCGAGGTCTGCTATCAGTTTAGTGTTTATACTGTCAGTTTGAAATGTCTACAAACTGAAGTGCATTATCTGTATGAACTTTGCTCCCCAGCTTATGGTCTCCAGGACAATTCTTCTGATTTGGATGTAACCTTCAAACGAACAATTGATCTAGCAATACTTAGTTATGGATCAGAATGAGAATCCGAGGATTAGAAAGTATGCAACATATCATTTCTTATATATTATATATATTCAACTTGGTGGCTAATTTACACCGCTCGCTTTGTACACTATATTCATGATCCTAATCTAGAATTGCATCAGGAACGAGCATGTTCCTCATCCCCTCTGCCCAAAACCACATAGGGAAGCAATGATCAGAACCCAGATAGAGGGAACGCTTCGCCATCGAGGCTCGAAAGATCGTCACTCAGTGATTCAGTCCTCATAATCTGCTCTGTCTTGCAGGCCCCTAGCTCATCCGTGAGCCTCTCGCACAGCTGTGGTACATTTCAACAGAATTGCACTTTTAGATGTAGCACCGCATATAAAGGGCGTACCCAGTGCAGAGAGCTCCCGCTTTGTGCGGGGTCTGTGGAAGGGTGTCAGTGGCAAGCCTTACCCTCGCCTGTGCAATGCGAGGAGACTGCGACTCGAACCCGGGACCTTCCGGTCACAGGCGGTAAGACTCTACCGCTTGCACCAGGCCCGCCCTTCGCAGCACTGCATATACATCTGCAATAATTTAACTGGCAAAAAGAATGTAATATTCGGAGTGCATTGTTACCTGTCTATACAATGTGGAGTCCCCATGGGATTTCCTAAGTTCTACAACATATAATGATGGCCCAAGCTCAAACACCTGAAAGATCAGAATTGTACTGTAAGACCAACTGATATATATTCTTTTCTGCATTGAATTGAATAAAAGGAAGGTGTCCTGTGTCATTTTACCTCGGTGCACACCAAAAATGATGACGGATTCCTGGAATTCTTGGAACATTTGCTATTCTTCAAGACTTTGAGCTGCAAAACAGCATGACTTTTAGTTCAGTTCAGCTATCCTATCAATTTATATAAAATTATGCTATGGTGATTATAATACATGCTTATCTACCTTGCTTGACCCCCTATGGACTTCGAATCCCATCTCCATCACAACGCTCTCGATCTTGTCAAATAAATCCTTGGGTGGATGCGTTGAAGTGAACCGAATCTTTCTTTGAGCTGCATCCTGCAATGAATCCACGAACCATAAAAGTGAGGTAGATTTTCATGTCTCACTTTTTTATCAACATTCAACTCTCAATGTGCAGGTATCCAGATAGGCTCATGGGGGTAGTGCTGACTGAGCTATGTGCAGTTTATAGAGAGAAAAGCATGGGCTATACTAACGTTGGGCTGTTAATTGAACTGTACAAATATAGGGAATCAATAATGTATAAACACAAACCTCTTCCTCGAATAAACCAGAAAGATCAAGGGAAGAAGCCATTCCGATCAACTGAAAAGCATTGATATGAGTACACTTTTCTTGTGCTGGTTCATCAATTTGCTTCAGGAACAAGAAATCAACAGTCAGCTTTAATCAATATGAAACCAAAAGAATTGAGTAGTTTCTCCTATTCCTATGTCCTCTCAAAACTTTATATACCTCTTTTATTGAGAGAACTGAACCGGGAAGGACGTCTTCATCATCATCGTATGGAACAGCAGGTACATAGTCCTTCTTGAACCACTCATGCTCTCTGATCCCTGTGATGTTGATCCTCTTCATCGGATTTGGTTCAAGGATCCTTTTAAGAAGGTCCTGTGCGGCAGGTGAGAGCCACTTTGGGATCTGACAGTCTCCCTTGAAAATCTATATACCAACAGAGCAATTTGGTACTGTCAAGATGGTCTCTCAACTTCTGTAGATTGCAAAATTTCAGAGCTTATTTTGTACTAATACCAACCTTCTGATAAAGAACAACAAGATTCCTGTCATCGAAGGGAAGGTAACCAACAAGCATCACATAAAGAATTACTCCACAAGACCAGATATCTGACAAGGAGCCATCGTAACCTCTGTTTTGCAAAACCTGCATGAATTTATCACACAATTAGCACCTAGAGGAGAAATGAAAGAACTTGCTTATTTCGTACTACTTTCTGTTGTCGGTTTTTACCTCAGGAGCTATGTAATTGGGGCTGCCACATGTTGTGTGCAGAAGTCCATCATTCTGAAAGTTGTGAAGTGCATGCTGTTTGTTAAATTACGCATACAGAGGAATAATTATATATACAGAACAAAGCTGATCAAATCATATCATCGTACCCCGAGATGTTGAGGTAGAGCACTAAGGCCGAAGTCAGAGATCTTGATGTTTCCTTTCCTATCAACAAGAACATTCTCTGGCTGTAATAGTAGAATAAAGAAGAAAATTGCTGTCACAGAAGAATCAAAGCCCTACTTGAGTTCCACGCTGAAAAGTAGTATATGAATGCAAGAGAAGCAACAGATAAGCAATTCTAGCATCTACAACCGGATGTAACGACAGATTAACAATTATGTGAATACCTTAAGGTCTCTGTGGTAGACACCTTTATCATGGCAGTAGCTGACACCATCAATTAGCTGCTGGAAAAGCCTCCTGCCCTCGTGTTCAGACAGTTTTCCCTTTATAGCCTTTGATAGTTACAGTGGGAGCAGAAACGAGTGTTAAAAAGATGAGGCGCTAGTTTTACATGCAAACAAACAGTATTGATGATGTAGTTTTGGTGGCTTACAATCCTGTCGAAGAGCTCGCCTCCGTTAACAAACTCAAGCACCATGTAAATCTTTGTTTTACTAGCAGCAACCTGCAGAGAGAAATTGATCACAATATCAGTCACCGACCCTTTTTTTGCTTCCAGTTCCACACAGGTCACTTAATCATTGTTATTCCGTCTTAACATCCCAGGGCGTTGGATATTTTCAGCAACTACGGCCTGAATGAGATAAGGGTAGAACAATGGCTTTGCAGGACGGGATGTAAGCGATTGCTGCAGGCAGACAAATTTAGCTTGTTTCCCTGCATCTTTCCCCGGCTCAGTTTGGTCCTCATCACAATTATTAACCTGAATGCTCAAGGGTTCTTTGATGCTAGTACTAGGCGTACTCGATGCCAGTGTTTTGTAGGGAAAAAAAGGCTTCGTTAGGTGAGGGAGGTTGTTGAGCCTGCTCCTGCAAATCATCAATCCCCAAACTGTTCCGCGGTTCTGTCGTCTCTGTGATCCGGATCGGTGAGATTGGTTGCTGCAAGCCAACAGACTGCTCCGGAGCCCAGAGACCGATCACAGGAAGGCACACAGAGTTGGTGACCGCGGGCCGGGGATGGATGAGCCAAGGGGCCGTGGAACACGTGTGCGGGGCCCGCATGACAAGTGTTGCGAGCAGGCCCACGCGGTGTGGCCGTGACATGGTGCACCTAGCTCACGAGGAATGCTTAACACAGTACCCGCCTGGCCAGATGTACCGGGACCGTGTGAGGCCGACGTGGCGGGCCCACCAGGAGCCGGCCACATGGCCCGACGGGTACCTGATGGTGTGGCGAGGCGAAAGCGCTTCATGCCCCACCGTGACCGGACAGGGGCAGAGGGGCTTACCAAAACAGAGCTAGCGGCCGGACTAAACTCCGGCGAGATGCCGTGCGGCGCTGCTGGAAGGACCGGCCGGCGGTCAAAGCTCCCGCGGGTGTTTTCCGCGTGAACAGCATTGAGAAGCAAGCGACGAGAACTGGCAGAGGAGAATTAATTGTTTCTTCCGCGCAAGCAAAACCGCTAATCCTTATCTTGGTTCCAAGTAAAAGCCACATGTTCCGTTACTTGCAAGTTAGTACAACTTGGTAGCCTAATCTCTTACGGAGCACTACAAGTTAATTCATTTCTAGCGTCATGGCAGCCCACGGGATCGGATATCCTACGAGTCCAGGCAAAGAATTGGTAGTCCAGCTGGAATTGGAAGGAGGAGAAGCATCCGTCCAGCAAGAAATGAACCACGGCAGGGAATGAATGATAAGAAGAAGGGGAGGTTGAGGTTTGGTGTGACACGCACCTCGTGCAAGCGGACGACATTTGGGTGCTTGAGCAGCTTCAGCGTCCCGATCTCCCTTCTAATCTGCCAACGCCAGGAACAGAAATGAAGCTGTCAGTGGACGATGGTCGACGGCCGGCGGACTGGATTGAAATTCGAAACGGTCCGAGCAGCTTCATCAGCGTACCTGGTCGTCGATGCGGAGGGAGAGGATCTTGCTGCGGTCGAGGATCTTGATGGCGAAGTGGCCGCCGGTGCCGATGTGGCGCGCGTACTTCACCTTGCCGAAGTTGCCTTCCCCGAGGGTCCGCCCGATCTCATACCTCCCCAGCAGCGACGCCCGCGTGCACTCCGCCCCCGCCGGCTCGCCGTTCACCATTCACAAACGCACGCGCGCCGGATTGC